ACTAACAAATCTGTCCTGAAAGTAGTGCAGCCAGAATGCTCCTTGGAGACGAGAATGGCCAGACTTCATTTGACCTACTTTGGTCATGTTGTCAGAAGGGACCATTCCCTGGAGAAGGATATCATGCTTGGTAAAGTGGGGAGTCAATGAAAAAGGGGAAGGCCCTCAATGAGATGGATTGACACAGTGGCTTCAACGATGGGCTCTGGTATAGCAAGTATTGTGAGGCTGGCCCAGGACCAGGCAGTGTTTCATTCTGTTGAGCACAAGGTTGCTATGAGTCAGAGCCAACTCTATGGCACCTAACAACAACAACGGATGCACTGTTGTGTATGTAAGGGGCTCTGGTGGTGTAGTGATTAAAACATTTGGCTGCTAACCAAAAGGGTGGTGGTTCGAACCCACCAGCCATTCCATGCAAGAAAGATGTGACAGTCTACTTCCAAAAAGATTTATACCCTGGAAATCCATTGGTGGTCTCTATGAGTTGGAATTGACTAGATGATAGTGAGTTTGGTTTCATTTGTTGTGTGTGTAGTTATGTGTGTGTGTTTCTATCTGTGCATACATACCATACTTTGTTAGGACTTTTGTTCTTGTGAATGTTGGCTACTAAGAAATAGGACTGGACTTCTGTAGGCCAGCCATTATTTACAAAGCAGGATATCTTTGACTTGCTTGAAAGATACAGTTAATTTATATTTTGGAATCTACTGGAGTACTTACCTTAGTGACTTGATTACCAAAAATTTTTAAGCTGTCTTCCAGTTGATTTATCTTTAATTTGATTTAGTGATTTCCAGATCTCATTTTTTTTTTTTTTTCTTACTGATCAAAGCTGACTTTTGAAGTAAAGTAGAGTTATTGGATGTTCTCTTCAGAGAAAACTCAACTTTTTTTTGACCATCTCCATCAGTCATCCCTTTTCAAATCTATTGTGATTTTTTGAAATATTCTTACTGTTTCTGATTATCCTGATTCACCTTGCTGTAAACTTTCTTTGTAAACTTTCTTTGTAAACTATAGACATTTAAAAAATTCTCTGTTTCTGTATTTGCCATAAAAATAAGATTGTTAGTTATGTGACTGTTTAGTTGTTTAGTTACTTAGTCTTTTTTTTCCTTTCGATGTCATGGATAAGAGTTTAAGCTTTTTGATTGAGAAACTGTTTTATTTTTCCTGGAATCCAGATTTCTGAGGTCCCTGGGATTGAGATGACCAATTCAGCCATTTGTCCTTAGGTCTCCTTTTGAATTTTGAGCCTTTGAGGAACTAGTTTTCCTAGAGTCACCTTCAAGTCAAGTAATTCTCTGGTAAGCAGTTTAGCAGAGATTATTTTGCCTCAGGCACTGGGCTCTTTTGGAGAATTGCCTATGTGCAGTCAGTTTCAAGAACGGGAAACCCCAGAGTTTGACTGGAAACTGTGTTTTAGGATAAATATGTGTCTTTTGTGACTTTGATTTTGTAACTGACTGGCCCTGAAATCCGGCACATGCTGTAAGTCTGTCTCCTGAGAACCTCAAAAAACAAACCAAACCCACTGCTATCGAGTCGATTCCTCCCATTGGGTTTCTGAGGTGGTAAATCTTTATGGAAGTAGATCGCCCCATCTTCCTGCCTTGAAATGTCTGGCGGGTTTGAACCACCAACCCTCTGGTTAGCAGTCATATGTCTTAGGCACAATTAGCATGGAAAGAATTTACAGTGACCTTCTGGAGACTGGGCGCTCTGGTAGTGTAGTGCCTAAGGCATTTGACTGCTAACCAGAAGGCTAGTGGTTCAAACCCACCAGCCACTCCAAAGAAGGAAGGTTGGGCAATCCTACTTCTGTAGTGTTACTGCCTCGGAAACCCAAGGAGGGGTCGCTATCAGTCGGGTCCAACTCGATGGCAGTGTGCGTGTGTGTGTGTGTGTGTGTGTGTCTGAAGACTATAGGCTGGCTCCAGATTACAAATGAGATCCACTGCAAACTGTGTCTTTAAGTGGAATTTGTAGGTGAGTCTGAACAGGTGCATACAGTTTTTATAATAATAAAGCTTACTTTAGTACAAGAAAAAGCTCAAAGCCTTTTCAACTATTTAAAAGCTGCACATGCAGTAAGTGAAGGTGATTATGATGAACAATTGTTGTGAGTCAGGGTTGGTTCAGTTGTTTAAAAATGAAGGCAGATTTACATAACATTAAAGGGCAATTAGGAATTATCCATAAGTTGGACATTCATAATCAAGGGATTACCTGGGCACTTACTTACATAACCTGTTTGCACTATAACCTCATTGAAGCGCTTACCTGATACTCTCAGTTTGACACTGCCTGATTCAAACTGTGTCAACTCACAATAAATATACTCTATTACACCAATTTCTGGTATTTCTCAGTATGGATTACATCTCAACATAAAGAAAACAAAAATCCTCACAACTGGACCAATGAGCAGCATCACAATCAATGGAGAGAAGATTGAG